TTTTGCTTTCGCTTTGCCTCATATTGGGTGTGGCTTTGGTCTACTACATGTGCGAGGCATCTTGGGCTCGCCTTGCGTTTTCTTTGGTCTCAGAGGTTTCAACCATTTTAAGTTGTCTTCGTGTCCATTGCGCCACTGGCTGTCGATCAGGGTGCCAGGGCCACGTAGAGACCACGTTGGTGCTCTCTGTCTGATGATCTGCCCCAGAGAGCAGACTCCGCTGGGGCTTCCATGGATGATCTCACTGAATCCTCCTAACAACCTACAGGGCAGGCATTCTTATTCTCCCATTTTACAGATGAGAACTCTGAGGCCCAGAGGAGGTGAAATGACTTGCCTGTGATTATAAAGCTTTGGAGTCTAGATTAAGAGTATCTCTGCCTGACTTCATCACTACAGTGCAATGTCTATTCTGTTTTTGCTTTTTCTTTTTGTAAATGGGGATGTGGTTCACAGAGACAAAGAACGTAGTGAAAAATCATACTTAGTTCCATGTTTCTCTGTCTCAAAGAATTTCACACTGCTTTCAGTAAGGGACTAAGGCAGTGCATGCAGCTCCCCGCACAGTGATATCAGGCCTACAGGCACACTCCACTCCTGCAGAAAATGAGTTCCCTCCTGAGGCACAGGAACTGATGTGTTGTTCTTCTTTAAACAGGATGCCTTGTACTGCCAGCTTGTTAGAGCACACTGTTGGCATTTTGTAGTCATTTGCTTCCTCTCAAACAACAGAAACAGTAATATTTTATACTTTGTTCATTACCTCTTTATCTGGAAATAATTACTGGGTATTTCAAGCATTTCTGTCCCCCCAACACACACTGCCTTAGATTGAATGCAGAAGTGACATGTTTATAAAAATAAAAATAGAAGTACATTGGATAATTTATGATCAGAATATTTTAAGTAGATCATTAATGTACTCAAGTCCCCATTATTTATTGGAAAAAAATTTAAATGAGGTTTGGAGCAATATTATGTGCTATTTTGCAAAGTATCACAAAATGTATAATAAAAATATATCTATAGTATAATCTCAGTCATTCTCTACCCCATGAGTGCATTTTTATTCATGAAATACTTTTGACATAATGAGGCTCTACCCTATGGTAAATTTCTCCTTTAACCAACATACAAAGTCATTTCACGGACTATTGAATTATAAGAAGTTGTCATTTATTCATTCATTTATTTCCTCATGTAAAAAATAGGGTGCCAATTCTCTACCAGACCCTGTGGCAGACACCAGAGTTACCATGATGAACAGGACAACTTCTTGGTCCTCAAGAAGCTCATAGCATAGCAAGAACAACCTTAACCGTGATAAGTGCTGTGAAGCTAAAGTGCAGGGTAAAGTGGGGGGAGGCAATGGGTGTTACAAGAAGAGAAAACAGTGTACATAGGGCCTAAGGCAGGAAAGCATTTGTAGCCTCACTTAGAGGAACTGAGAGTTAGAACTTACGAGACTAAGCGAGACATTGGAAGGAGATGAAATAACTCAGTTATTCTAAGATGTATAAGAAGCAGGAGATGGGTGAAATCATAGTTGTGTTTTTCAAAGTTCATTCTGGTTGTGCATGGAGAATGGATGGGAGAGAGCAAAGAGTGGAGGCAGGGAGGCTAGGAGGCTGTTGTAGTATTCCAGAAGAGAGGTGATGATAGTTTGGACTAGGATAGTAGCAGTAGAGTTAGAAAGAAGTGGATAGATTTGAGAACTATTTAAGAAATAGGGTTGATGGGAGTAGACTGATGGGAATGGATGTGGGGGTGAGGACAGTGAGAAGTCCTGCCAGGTTTCTGGCTTGAGAAGCAGGGTGAATGAGGGTGCCACTCACGGAAATGGGAAACACTGAAAGTAGATCCAGTCGTGTGAGGACAAGACCAAAAGTTCCTTTCGGACGTCTGGGGTTGGAGGGTGTGAGAGGCATCCACCATTTGGAGATATGGACAGTCAGAATTTATTAATCTAAATACTAGGAAACGGTTCAGGGCTAAAGGTATGGCACTGGTAGCATGAAGGTGGTGGTTAAAACTATGAGCACAGGGGAAGACAGCCCATGGTGAGCATGTAGAACAGGAAGAGAAAATGGTGAAGGATGGGACCTGGCACCTCTGGGAAGGGCAAGGTGACCTCCTGAGGAAGCAGTCTGAAAGGCTGAGGGCAGTTGGTGACGTGAGGCTGGAGCTTAGGGGAAAGGTCTGGGCTATAGGAGATGGCATTTAGAGGACAGTAGAAACCATAGGGGAGGAGGAGATAGCCTAGGGAGTTTAGAGTGTTTTTGTATTTATAGCATTGTCTCTGATAACATATATTGTTAGAAGCATGGTTACTAGAAGTAGAAATAACCTGAAAGATAATGACTCTCAAAGAAGAAGAAGTAGGGGAGTGAAATGCTGGGGCAAGGTTTAAATCAAAAGGGAGCATGATCGTGGGACAACTCAGTCAACTGGCATAATATAGTTCATAAAGTTTATGTTCTACATCTTAGTTTGGTGAGTAGGATCTGGGGTCTTAAAAGCTTGTGAGCAGCCATCTAAGATACAACTATTGATCTCTTCTTGTCTGGAGCAAAAGAGAAAGAAGGAAACCAAAGACTCAGAGAAGAAACTAGTCTATATGACTAACAGTCTACATGAACCGTGGCCTCATCCACCCTGACACCAGAACTAAAATGTACCCAGCTACCACTTCTGAGGGTTCTGATCAGGGCCACAATAGACAGACCCTGATAGAATGGGAGAAAAATGTAGAACAGAGCTCAAATTCTTAAAAAGTCCAGACTTACTGGACTGGTTGAGAATAGAGGGCTCCCTGGGACTATTGCCCTGAGATACTCTATAAACCTTGAACTGAAACTACCCCAAGAGCACCTTTTAGCTAAATAACAGATTGGCTCATAAAATAAAGAATATTACCAGTGAGTACTGCACACCTTTAAAAAATCATCTATGTGAGACCAAACAGTCAACAATTACTCTAAAGCAAAGATGAAAGGGTAAGGGGACAGGGAAACCAGATTACTGGAAATGAAACATCCAGAATGGAATTAATGAGAATGTTGACATACTGTGAAAAATGTAACTAACATCACTGAATAATATGTGTAGTAATTGTTAAATGGGAACCTGATTTGCTGTGTAAACTTTCACAGAAAACCCAATAAAATATTATTTTAAAAAAGGGGGGTGCATGAGTATATAAAGATGATAAAAGACTTGTCCAGACTAGAATGGATTCCCTTGTTACCCTGCTAAAGGGAATGATGCCTCTTGACCACACCTGCCCCTACTTGCCCCTCCCAGGCAAGTTGGGCAAGTATGACTGTGTTACAAAGTGAGCACTCAGCTACTGTGAGCGAGGACAGACATAGCCTGGCTATTGTCTCCCTCTCTCCCGACTGGGCCAAGCCCTCCTTTCAGCTAGGCCTGGGGTCCTAACCTTCCTTAGTGAGGCTCACACCTGTGAGAACATCACAACCAATGCCTTCCCAACTGCCACAGATGCTGTCCCACTTCCCTCAAGCCTCCAATGCAGAAGGTAACGTGTAGAAGAATCTTTGCTCCCAGAGGACAAAATAGCACTGTGGGCATATCCCCAGTGAGTCCCTGAATCAACAAATGTCACCTGTGCTCATACCAAAGTTCTTTCACTGAAGAAAGTATACAGCCAAGGAAATTTGCTGAGCATAATTTCAGCCTTGTGTTGGATATTCACACTCCAAGGTCTTTAGAGTCACTTAATCAAGAAGGGACTGGGCTGTCTACAGTGCTGAAGGGCAGGGGCAGTGGCCAAGAGTTTAAGTCCACTTCTCACTCCTCTTTCTTATTTCTACAGTAATATTGTTTGGACAAATATGTGGCATTTGTCTTAAGGAAAGCACTCTACCAGTAAAGATGAAGAAGCCACTCTGGGCTTCAGGTGAAAAATCCCTTGGTTGGAGGTGACCAGGAATGGCTCTGTTGACTTCCGCTCTGGTTTTCCCAGCTCCATTTCCTTATGCCTAAGGTGGAACCACCTAGACAGTTATTTAAAATAAACACTATTGCTTCTCACTTAAGGCCCTTCCTCCAGCCTCATTTAGCTGTGATTAATCAAGAAAAAACAATCTCATTCCAGTCTTCTGCAACCTTTCTAGAGTAAGCTGGAAATAAAGACCCAGGTTGCTTTTCACTGCATAGGCTTCCAACATCATCCGTCAAAGACTGTAGCGAATTCCAGAGAGTATGCGGTCACCAAGATACTTTGTAGTATAACAAGCTTGAGAACGGTTTATGAAAGAAACATCACAAAAGTTTTGGACTATTCTCTCCAAATGCTTCCTCCTCCCCCGACCCAGCCTAGGGCTTTAGGTACTGAATGACAACAGTAATGTTATGGAATCTTTATTATTCAAAAAATAAATAACAAGATAATCACAAATTCACTCTGGAAACAATGGAGACTGCAGATAGATACAATAGATTTCCTTTAAATAGTCACTTCGTGATGAGAAGTGGGCAGGGCTTAGAGCTGCTTTCCCTGCCCTCCCCCATCTACAGTGGTGGAGATAGGGACAGGGTTGAGATTAGATAACTGATAAGCAACTGCCTGACTTGTGCGCATATGCACACACGTGTGTGGTAAAGAGAGGGAGAGACTGAGTGTCAGGGTATGTGGTGGAACCAGGGTTTTTCAGTTCTCCATTGTGGTGGACTTCCTAGAACCTGGTTCCCTCTAGCAGGGCCACAGCATCCCAGAGTCAACCATACTTGAATGTGAGCTGAGGCTTCTCCTCATTTCCCTTCCACATCTCCGCTGATAAATACACGATCCACTGGAAGACATTGCACACAAAAGAAACAAAACTAAACTGGCAAATTGTTTGCTATTTGCTCAGCAGTCACTCTGTGCATGATGATTTTCTCTTTTCTTATGACTCTCTGGATGTCTGCGTCAGTGAGGTTTCTGCTTCTGAATAGAAGCGCTTATGGAGCAGGGCCTGTTTTGGTTTCCCCCGCCCTGTAATTCATTTATTACAGCCCTACATGCCTTGGGGTATATAATAAATAGTTCTCCATGAGGAGGATCCTAGGGTTATAAATAGGCAGTTCAACAGGGGATGATCTTAACTGCTTTGCTGTATTATGAAGACTGCCCGTGTCAGCTCAGCCGCAGTCGGGGAGGTTCCACTGTTCAGAGTTTGAGTAGGCCGAAAGACGTGAAGCCAGTCCCGTGGCTCACTTGGCTTGGGTCAGTCACGTTGACAAATACCGAAGCACCTGGTTGCAATTCAAATACTCCTCCCAAGTGGATAGATTGTTGTCCGCAAGGTTTGGAGGAACTGTGGGTATTTGCTGCTCTGAGTAAGATTCTCTCGGATTCACTTGGGGACCTCAGGCAGAGGCTAGCTATAAACGGCATTTGTCCCGAAGCTTCCCGATTGGAACAGAAGGTGACTTGGGCGTAGATATAATAGAGTCCTTGTCTTTGAACGGTCAGCTGCTTCTTATATTTGAGTTCTACCAATTTGGTGCTCATGGTGTAATATCCTTTTTCGGCCCACTGTAGAACTGTAATGGAGAAGGAAGAGATTTGTGGTGAGGTGAAGCACAGCATGGTTCACATTTTAGCAGAAAATATAGTTCCATGTGGGATATTGGGCACTGGGGATTCGTCAGGACCCTTCTAGCCCTCAGAGTCTAGGGAGGAACTATGGCTGACAAATCGGCATGGGCTTTAGAATCACATGGAACCTGGTTCCACTCCATGCTTTGTTCAAGTTTGGACAAGTCACTAAACCTCCCTGAGCCTCAGTTCCTCATCTGCACCAAACAAAACAAAACAAAACAAAACAAAAAATAAGCCAGTTGCCGTCAAGTCAATTCTGATTCATGGAGACCCCATATGTTTCAGAGTAGAAATACACTCCATAGGGGGTTTTCAACGGCTGATTTTGGGGAAGTAGATCACCAGGCCTTTCTTCTGAGGTGCCTCTGGGTGGATTCTAACCACCAACCCTGTGGTTAGTAGCCAAGTGCTTAACTGTTTGCTTCTCCCAGGGACTCCTCCTTGTCTGCAACATGGGGCCAATATTCAAGCCTATCTCAGAGAATTGTGGCGAAGATTAAATAAAGTAGCATAGAGCCCCGTGAATTTCTAGCTCCCACCAAGAATTCTTTAAGCCAATTTGCCCTTGGATTTAAGAAAGTGCCAATGATTTAAAACTTCCATGCCATAAATTACACATGCCAAATTATTCAGACAAAATCCTTGCTAATATGAACGTCAACACCTTGCTTGCCTTGAATTTTACAGTCAAAGAGTTGCTAGTCCACCTAGCTCAGCCTCAGTATAGAGAGAAGGAAAGACCCCATTTCTTCCTAGCGATCATGCTGTTGCAAACCCGACCTGCCTCCCACAGCAAGGACTAAAATTAGGCAAGGAAGTATGAAAATAAACCTGTCATTTTACTGTGCGTTTTGATCTCCCATTGTAGTAGGCGCCACCAACTTGAAAGTACCTGTATTCTTGTGGCTAAGCCGAGTACCCACCAACAGTGTGCCATTTTCTCGGCTGAGTTGGTGAGTGGGTTCAAAGTGGTGTGTGCACCCGATTTCAAATCTCAGCTTCTACAGAGGTCTACGGGGGTGGGGGTGGGGGTGGGGGAGAAGTGAAAGTGTATTGATGCGGATGCTTCCTTGAGCCACTTTTTATTCCCACTTGGTGGTCTTAAGCTTATCACGGTGCCAGACCCTACCTACAAAGATGCATCCTTGAGGAATAAGGAGGCATCTTGAAATGCCTGACATTTCGGGGGCCCCCAGACCACACCAGAAAGGATGCTTCATCACGATGTTTTTTACATAGAAATCAGCCCCCAAACTTTTCACTTTTGGACAGTTTGATGAGAATAAAGGAGTAGGAGCCCTGTCTTTCAGTCCAGTAAGTTTAGTCCTTGCTGAGGGAGGAAGGTGCAGTTTGTAACAGCATGATCAGATAGGAATGAGAAGTCTGGGGTTGGTGGGGGAAGGGCAGAAAGAATGTTATTGTCTTCCCACCTTGATCCCTTGTAGACCTACTGTGATGAAGACTGTAAAATATTCTAGGACCAATATCAACTATGGGCCTTTTGGGAGCATCTGAGCCCCATGAAATAAATCCAAAGGCAAGAAAACAGGATTCAGATACAGATGGACAAAGACTAGTGGAAAGCTATTCTTCTAGAAGGTTTCTCTGTTGCTGTCATCCAGTCCAAATGAGAAAGTGCCATGTGGCTGGCCGCCTTAGACACCAGTCATGATGTTCTCCCAAAAGTGTATTTTCTGAGAAAGGGGTACTTCACAGAATTATGAAATGTCATGGGCTCAACTGATATTAGTGAGTAGCTTCATGCTATTCTTTTGACATATAAACCACAGTGAAGTAAACTAAGTAGTGACACCTTACATTGGTATAACACTTGACAGCTTAACTTTCATCCACACTAGCTGATTTGATGCTCAGAGCAACCACGTGAAGTAGGTGAAGCAGGAAACTGCTGTGTAAGTAAAGAGACTTGCCCGAGGTCACCCAGCAAGTGGTGGCCAGGGTTCTTGAACCCCAGTGTTCCAAAACTCCCTATCCAGTGCTCTTACACCCATCCCATGATGACTTTGAGTGTGTTCCACCCACTGAGAAGATACCTCAGAGATGAGGTGGTGTCTTGTGTTCTCTCTTTCTCTCTTTAGAACTCCATTCCAGAGCACTCTGCAGAGTTTTTCAAAGACTACTCTGATGCTCTCCGACTGCCTTTATGTTGATGGGGGATTTTGTGCTAGCGTGTGTGTTTCCATCCATTTATCAGATGCAACATATTCTCCAGCACCAACTATCGCAAGGTACAGATTTGGGAAAAAAGATCTAAGGGCTAGAATGATGGCAGAACGTGTATGGAAAAAAATCGTTCAGAGTTGAAAAGATCACAGTATGTCGTCTGTTCTTACTTCATTGGAAAATCTAACGTCCTGGCACCTATTGATCTTTGCAGAATGATTTTACCTTTAATTTCCCTGAGGTTGGCCCTAGGGAGGCTGGGGTTAATCATACAGGGATTGATAGATGGCAGGAAATACCCCTTGAGGCCCATTTACACATGGATGAAGAGAGGTTAGGAGGAGGGATGCTTCCAGTCGGGAGGTCACTACCTGCCATTTCTTTGATGTTGTTGGAATAACAGCCCTTCCACCCAATAATTCATCATTTAGACTCAGCCATTGAACAAGAACGTAATCAGGACATAGAGACTGGTTCCCACCTCCTTTTTTCCCTCCAAGTCCCATCTGGGCATTTAAGCCCACTTTGAAGACAAAGGAGAGCGTATGTGAGGTGTATGGGTAGGTTTGTAAATTGGGCCCCAGAGGAAGAGAGGAGTCTAAACTGCATTGCTGCAGCATCCCAGCATTCCCCTTTGGGTGGTTGATGCTCAGAATACTGTGGGACTTACTTACCAGATGTTGTTTTACTACTGGCATCACTTATGACATGGGCTGCAATTTGAGGCTCTTGATCACCTGAAATGAAACCAAAAGCAAACTTTCAGGCCAAAATAATACAAAACTGCCCACAGAACTATTTGGTCTAGTCTTATGACTGTGTAATAGAGACTGTGCTTGAATAGGCTACATGAAAGGGAGAAAAAAATGGTCTAGAATCCTCCCACTGAGGGAAAAGTTGATTTCTAACAAATTTTATCAATTGAACTGGCTGTTTCCATTGATCCCATTCTCTAAATAGTTGTTCAGTACTCAATTCCACTTTACATAGATTGACACAAGTCCAAAACACTGGTCTTCATTCAACATATCATGAATCTGGATTTTAGGAACAACCCCTGTACATTGGGAGTCTTAGTGGGTCCCAAGGTCGTGTCTACACACTCAGCTAGTGAGATACTTCTGGTGCCTTATTCAGGCAAGCAACTGGTCAAACTATTGTATCTATCTCTAATTGTTTTTCATGTAAAAACCTTGCTCCTTAATTAGATGTGCCAACTTCCAAAGGGCAGAGACTTGTGGAAGTTTCTTTTTTCCAGTTATGAGCCCAGTGCTGGGCAATTTGTAGGTGCCCTATAAATGTGGAGTCAAATCATATAACCTAAATTACCAGTTGGGTTAAATCTATCATTTTATTGAGGACTGTTAGGCAGCCTCCACATGAACTGTATCCTCAAATTTCACTGTAATTAAGAGACAACATGTTACTACTCAACATATCTTGCAGTCAGTCATTTTGAAGACAAACTTTCATGGAAATCAGATGACCCTGTAGCATCCAGGCCAATACTTAAGGCAGGCTCTGAGCGCTCTCTTTGCCTCAGAAGCAGTGTCTGTAGCTCTGTGTGCATCTGTGTGTGTGTGTTAAATTTACACAAGCCATGGCATCATGTTCACCAACTCTATTAGATAACAGTCTCTCTACCAACATCCCCTTGATCACCACTCCACCTTCTCTATACTCAGCTGCGAAGGTTACTTCAGGAATTATTGTGTCTGGTTTGGGGCACTATATTCCAAGTTAGTGTGTCCAGAAATGGAGACAATTAGGAGAGGAAGGGTCTGGAAAATGTCATAGAAGGAACAGTGGAAGACATTGGACATGTTTCGCCTGGAGAAGAAAAGGCTCCAGGGGCCATGACTGCTGTCTTAAATACCTGGGCAGCTGCTGTATAGGAGAGGAATGATACTTGTTTGATATGGGCCCGAAGAGCAGTACTAGGTCCAGCAAGTGGAGATTACAGGCAGGCACATTTTGGCTCAAGAGAAGGAAAGACTTCTCTTGAGCAGTATAGTAATCTTGCTACCATTATTAGAGCTCTCCATAGATGGGCCAGGCTGCTTTATGGTGTAGAAGGTGCCTCATCCCTAGACATGTTCAGTCAGAGGCCAGGCAGTTAGTACTGTTGAGAAGGAGGCTCATGCTCTGGCAATGGTGCTGAGATGTTTGGGATTCTATGATTTCAAGAAGAGGGTCAAGAACATTGTCATATGAATCACTCCTTGATCCCAGAGGCTTCACCTGGCCACTGTTCCTCATGAGAAACTGTTATCAATGAGCAATAAATGCCACTGCTACCAAATGATAGTTTCCCTGTCATTTATCCTCCTTAGGCGGTACCAGGTTGTGTGGTTGCTTTGATTAAGGTATTAAAAATAATGGGATTTCCTCGTACTTGGTATTGTCAGCATTAAAGGGACAAAGTCTTCCTCATAAATATGTATACATGAAGCCTTTCCAAACCACAGAGACCAGAGAAGGTGTCAATTTGGCCATTGAGTTTCTGTTTTCTTTCCAGAGCTAAAAGTCTCCAGATTCAACACTGAGTTGTTCAGTATAATTGACTTAAGCTTCCTTTTGTCTGTCAGTTTGTCGTGCTGTGTGGCTTTCATGTTGCTATGATGCTGGAAGCTATACCACCGGTATTTCAAATACCAGCAGGGTCACCCTTGGGGGACAGGTTTCAGCAGAGCTTCCAGACTAAGACAGACTAGGAAGAAGGACCTGGAAGTCAGTCTACTTCTTAAAAAAAATTGGCCAGTGAAAACCCTGTGAATAGCAGTGGAACATTGTCTGATACGGTACCGGAAGATGAGCCCCTCAGGTTGGAAGGCTCTCAAAATACGACTGCGGAAGAGCTGCCTCCTCAAAGTAATTGTGAGGATGGCGCAGGACTGGGCAGTGTTTCATTCTGTTATACTTGGGGTCACTATGAGTCAGAACCGACCCGAGGGCACCTAACAGCAACAAGCTTCCTTTTTGTTTGTAAGTATTCATAGAAATTGATAAATAGTAACCTACCTTTTTGCATTTCAAAAGTTTTTTCTTTCTTCTTTGCCTCTTCATTTAGCATTATATCCTAAAATAAGAATCATTGCAAAAGGTCATTTGGGCATGAGCTCTGCTGTGGGATTTGAGAGTTATCCTTCATTTGGCATCTGTCATTACCCTGTTGCCTGTTTCTGGTGAGGATTATCATATAGACTCAGATCCTGTCATTAATTTCATCATAGTGATTGGGAGCCCATGGCTCTGACAGATGAGCTGACAGCCCAGAAAGCCCAGGGATGAATCCAGAAGCAGAGTCCGGGCCTTATTATCTCCATCCCAGTGCTTTCTTCAGACCAAAGGCTGTGATACTGACCCCTCCTGTGACCTCAACCTTCCTGGTTTGACAGCTATAGACAAATAATACGGCATGGGGGAATGCTTCTGCCCTGGGAACTGGTATATGGAATATTGTTAAACATAAAGCATTGTGTTGTAGCTATTAGGATAAAATTGGTTTGAAATCTCTTAGGAAAAGGTAATAGTAAGTTTGACCTTGGGAGAGAAATCCCAGACTATGAAAAGACCTTCAGACTTTTTCTATGTTCTTGTCCCTTTTAATGAGCTGAAGAGATTCTCTTGTTGCTGGTTGCCCTGAATAGCCTGTATTTACTTAGAATAATCAGCATTTAGGAAACACAGTCATTTCCCAATGCTGCTGATGTTCAAAGGAATGCAACATTTCTTAAGGGGTTTCTTCTCACCAACTGAAGAAATGCTAGAGGTACTTGAAGACATTAACAGGGACTGCCATCAACACAGTTTAGAAGGTAATGAAGGCTATTGTTACCATTTTAAAGACACTGAATCAAAGGGCTGGAGGGCTTAACTGACTGGTATGAGGTGGTGCAAACAGTTAATGCACTCAGCTGCTAACCAGTTAAAAGGTTGGAGGTTCGAGTCCACCCAGAGGTGCCTCAGAAGAAAGGTTTGGCAATCTACTTCTGAAAACTCTGTCACTGAAAACCCTATGGATCATAGTTCTACTCTGGCACATATGGGGTCACCATGAGTCGGAGTCGACTCGACAGCAACTGGAGATACTGGAGAATGAGGCCACCCAAGGAGTCTGAGAGTGAAGCCAAGAGTAGAAACTGCTAGATCACATTCACAGGCTAGGCTCAACTCTTCCATCACTCTATACTCTGAACCCAAGGCAGGAAGACAGTAGTATTTTCACATGTTCAGATAAGCAAAGTCCTTGTGCACCTTCCCATTACTGGAATCAGTTGTCCTTAGGACTCTTCCTTTTCGTTTCTCCCCTAGAAGGAATTTCTGTTGTTCCTGTTGAATGCATTGCTGTAGACTCAGCTCAGTTGCCAGATGGGAGGGTGTAAAGCAAGAGCCCAAAGGGGAGCTTGCGCCTCGAAACGCTCACATGGGCCGCAGAGTCTTAACTTTCCATTTGAGTTGAAGTGCCGCACTGTGAAAATGCGGCGACAGGAAAATGTTTGCGAGATAAGTAAACAAATGACTATTTCTTGCATTGTTGAAACATGGAGTGTGATGATCGAGGTTGAGATACTTTTAGGTTAGGTGGGTGCACTGGTGTCAGGGCTGGCCTAGATGAAAATGTGAAGTCAGCAGAGTTGCCTTTTATGCACCCAGCTTTGCCTTTCTGTGAACTTTCCCCCAGCCACACTCCCCAGGGCCTTTTTTTTTTTCCCCTTGCTTCACTCACCACCTCAACTGAAAGATTTTTAAAAGATGGCCAAAGAAAATCTGGGATTTGTGATTTCTCTCTTAGTGGGAATGCTGTGTGGCAACTACAGACATGTTTACCTTTCACTCAAAAAGGAAATGCTTTGACCCTATCTATCAAGGGGATCGCAGGCATTGGTGGACAGGTAATCACAGAACTCATCGTTGTGACAGGTGGCGGATGGGTAGTGAATCTTGGCGTGAAATTGCACTACGCAAAATGCTTTTTCCACTTCCCCTAACATAATCCCTGAGTCCCATCTCCCCTCCCACCCCCGACTGACAGTTTGGTGCTCCCTGCCTCAAGAGGTAATGAATTCCTCATCGCTAGAGGTGTTCAAACAGAGATTGGATGACCCCTTGGTAGGGGCAGTAGGGAGAAGACTGAAGTTCAGGACTGAAAATTGAATTTGATGATTTCTAAGATAGCCCTTAAGCCCTATGATTAGAAGCCCCAAATTTCAAACTTTAGGTTAAAAATCTTGCTAGCATTAGCTAAGAAAATAAAAATCCAGTCTGGGGTTATCCTGTAACCTATTGGGTAAAATAAATAAAGTCCAGACTATTGCTTTATAAGGAGCAATGCTGGGGAATGGATAATGGAAAAGGAATCAGTGATTACAGGAGGACTGGGTGGCTGGAGGACTTTGCATCTAACCATTGTGCATTTCATGGGCACAGATGGCATTGACTGAGGTTCCACACCTGCTGAAGTAGAGACAAGGGGCCTCCTCTGTCACGTGGAAGGAGGAGATTACCGAGGCCGAGGCTGACATGTCTGAGAAGGTCTACTCTTGTAGAATATGAAACTTTGGAGCTATCAATTTTTTTCATACAAGCCTAAGCAGGGAGGCCAACCAAGCTGTTTTCCTTTCTCCAGTCCTGGGTAGCCGATTCTGGAAGTTTTACATCTCCGACATGAACTCAAGGCATGAAGAATTCTCAGTTCAACTGTCAAACTCTCAGTAAGAAAGAGAGAGGGAGGAAAAACTCCAACAACTGCTGTCACTGCCATCGGAGGGAACTGAAGACTAGTCACATAATTACAGAATGTCAGAGCTGGCAGTGCCCTCACGGAGAATTTGCCCAAGGTCACACAGCCACGCACATTCAATATGCTATTTGGATTATTAACTGTTCTTTTGACAATTATTTTATTCACATTTAAATGTACAGTGCCTCTCAATACTCTGTCATACTGGCCACAATCTACAAAGAACCAGAGAAGTTCAAATCTGTCCCAAGGCTGGCCAGCCAAGCTTTGCAAATAATGGGTTACAAGTCTTCATCTACAACCTAGATTAGTGTAGAGAACCTGAGAACCAGCAGCATATTTGAGCTGCAGTCAGATCCCTGGAGGTGATTTAGGAATAACCTCTTAGAAGCTTCACTACTGGGTTAAGTTATACATCGGCTACACTACAGGAATATAAGAATGAGCTCAGGAATAAGATCTAAAGTCCTTCACTCCTGGCTTAAATTACACATCGTCTACATGTGAGAACTAACTCCTGTTGGTTTATCCAGATACCCGCCCACCTGGCACAGAGCTGTCTTCAACCTGGAATCTTCGATCTCCTAAACACGACCTAAACACCACCCCAAAAGGAGCTGAGGGCCAAAGGTATTTGATTCAGTTCTGAGAGGGAAAAGGGCAAGAAGAATTCTCAAAGTTCTGCCTCAGGAGAAGAGGCCCTAGACCCCGTGTCTGTGATGAGGTAATGAATGTTGTAGGTGCATCCTCAGAAAAGGTTCTACAAAATTCTTGTTTTAGGTACCATTTATGGGCCACAACCACTGCAGTGACTTTGTGCTAGGTACCAGTCTTTTGGGCTAGAAGGCTTTGAACCTGCTCTGCCTCAAGTCATGGTTGGCCCTAGAGGGGACTGGCTTCAGGAGCAAGGGGTATCATGTAGGGTCTGATTTGAGCAGAACTGAGAAGATCCACCACCCATCTCCTGCACCCCTCCTCACAATAAAAGGAAAAAAAATCTCACTTTCATGGTGCCTGAAATTCCATCATCAGAGAAACATTGCTTAGTATGTTACCGTTTATCAATCTTCAGGAGTCCCTACTACTCCTAGTAAAGATGATACCTTAATTTGTGACCTGCCAGTGCTGCAGCGGCTAGTGGTTATTGCTTCCTTGGGAAATGAGGACCAGACCATGGGTCCACAGTGGCAAGATATAGAGGTTTGGATGGTGCGATAAAGAAATACAAAAAACAAGCTGGGCGTACTTCATAATTTCTCCCAGAGGCAGCTGCATTTATGTGTGTGTGTGTGACCCTTGAGAGTCTGTGTCTTTTCCCCAGAGAGCCTTTTTGTTCTTATCAAGTAGGAATGTGCCTACTTCCAACTTTCCTTTCCTTTTTAACACAGCATTTGGCCTTTCTTTCTTTCTTTTTTTTGATACACACACACACACACACACATACGCACACATATTATAAACTTTTAAACTTTTCCATGGTTAGATTTCAGTTTCCGGACCTAGCAAAATGCAGTAGAAATTTTCAATGACACTTTTACCAACAATTGAGTTCCTTACCTTGATGAAGCCTCCAAACTGGCTTTTAATTTGCTCACAGTTCAGTAAGGATAAGGACCCCTCTCCTTTGGCACATCTCTGTATCATTTTCATGAACACAAAATCTTCATGGAGATTCCTTTCATCTTCTATCTATTTGTGAAATAACAGGGACATGAGAAATGTAATTCGGAAGGAGAATGCGGCTAATGGTGTCTGCCTCCACATTCACTTCTATGGCATAGGAGAACTTTGGGGGTACAAATGGGAAGTAACAAGTTATCATACTGGGTAATTGTCATTTGTTATTTGCAGCTTTAAAAAATCTATAAAAACCAGAAATTAAAATGTCATATTATCTGAAATTCTAGCTAGAAATCACAGTTATTCTAATAAAATTTCATCCAAACATGTATATACATTTTCAGTGCACTATAGTAGCAATATTATATAATTGTCATATGTCCCAGTGCTCCAGCAATGGTTGATCATTATCTACACAGCCTATACAATAGTTTTCTGCTGAGCTAATTTGCCTACTTCATTTTAGTGTTTGTGATGCAGTGCTTGGTAAAAAGAAGTTAATTTGCAATGTGTGTCAATTAACTCAAGTTCTAATTACATCTTTCTCTCTCTTTACCTTTAGTATGTATAGAAAATGTTTGCATGTTTTAAAGAAATCGTCTATTATCCCAAAAGTTAACAAAACAAACAAACAAATTCCGACTCATAGCCACCCTATAGGACAGAGTAGAACTGCCCCATAGCGTTTCCAAGGAGCGGCTGGTGGATTCCAATTGCCCACCTTTTGGTTAGCAGCCATAGCTCTCAACCACTGCACAACCAGGGCTCCAAAGTTAACAAGATATTTTAATTTATCTTCCAAAGTCTTACAACAATCAAATGTATGAAATTCACTTGTATAATCAACTCATTCTGTATCATTTTCTTGTGTTAATATTTGATTTTTAGATTCAAAATAAGATGCAGTTAGCCAGTGGCTTTCACTCTCAACTGACTGCACATCTAAACACTGTGGTGAATTTGTCTACTCAGGTCCATATCTTCCCTTTAGAGGCCAGGCCAATGTCCCAGCATTGACTGGCAGAGACCCCCAGGCCAAAAACAACCAACCAACCAGACCCAGAAACTCCCTCTTTTCTCAGCAATGAAACCTAAAATCTGAGCAACCCAGTAAATTGCCTCAACTCTCACCGCCTCACCTTATCCTGATAGAAAACCTCATGGCCTTATTTCTACATCTGTACCCCAATGCAGGACATCCAAACAACCCTGAGAAAATGCAGTCATCCTGATGCTGCCCACCCACAGTGCCCGCATCCAGAGCTCTTGGAACAGCTGATAACTGATCAAATATCTCCTGTTCACCCATGACTTACGTTTTGTCAACACAGTCAATAATGTCCCTCAATGGAAGTGGACAAACACATGGAAACAGGACAAATCCGAAAGGTTATCTTTTCTAAGAATGCAAATCCATCTGCTAAGCTACTCTGCTCTTTTCTTCCTTAAGTCCAGTCATTTAATAATGTAAAACATCTCAGAGGGCAACTGAGTGGCTTGCAACTCCAAGGAGCATTTGAGGAATTAAACAGAGAAATCCACGTTTACTAAAAGACTGCAAATTCTAGTACGTATCCATGTCTATGCTAATCTGAAGTGCTAGGAAATTTCAGATCAAATTGATGCTCTTCTTCACTAATTGGAAATTAAAAAAATAGTTGTCTCTCTAAAAAAAAGTTTGCTTCCTTTTTAAGCAAAACTTTAGCAAACAATTATAGCTAATGCCTATGTAGTACTTACTATATGCAGGCATCGTTCTAAGTTCTTTATATGGCTAAACTAATTTAATCTATGAGGTAGGTACTATGGTCATCCCTATTTCTCAGAAGTGAAGTGGAAACTGAGGCACAGAAATGTAAGGTAACTAACTTGCCCAGAATCACAGACCAGGTAGGAACAGAGATAAGGTTTGAACCCAGGCAGTCTGCCTCCAGAGCCCAAGCTCTTAACCAGAGACAAGAATATGGGGACGCTGCTGACTAGATAACCAATATCATGCCATAAGACTGTCCATCTATTTGAGTTTCTACCATTGTCCATCATTTGGACAGAACTGAAACCGACCAACAACAAATCAGTAAAACCCCCAAATACAGTTAATAAAGACTTGTGGATCATCTTACCTTGTCCAACCTTCTGTGAAGATACACAGCAAAAAGTGCTGACCCAATCATCTGGGTGATAAGAAAAATAGTAAGTAAATACATAAAAATTTTCATACTGACGGGAGGTCCAGTGGTCACAGAGCGGGGAGAAGGTTGGCTATAAGTTTCGATCATGCTTTGTTAGAGTTGAAATGGTATCTTCTGGTCGAGAAGGTGGCAGAGGCAGCATGAGAAGACTGTCAAAGTGGCCACCTTACTCAGGATTAGTTAAGAGCACACAATCGTCGCAGCCCACACTTCCTGGAAAATGTGCTTCGTAGTCTTCGCTCCCGGCAAAAAAAGTTACGTAAAGGTTTTTTTTCTTTTTTTCTTAAGTATACCCATATCATTCACTTCCAGCCTTTCCCTTTTGTTAGTAAAGAAGAAACAAGTTTCTTCTTCCATATATTCATTCTTGCCTTGAAATGTCATAGACTTCTCAACAGACAATGGCAGTATTTTCCTATCGCTGTCTAACTTTTTTGGGGTTCACCAGTTTCAAGGAAAGTGACAAATTAATCCACCAGCAACAGACTTATTTAAATTTCAATCTTACTAATATAAAGCGGGAACCTGGTATACGGGGAAAGAAGCAAATGTCAACAAAAGTTTGGACTGATTTTATGACTGCTGTGCCATTAGCTAATTGCTTCTTTCAGGTGACAATTTCAAGACTTTATTTCTTTAATCTTTCAATCCAATGAAACCCTGACAGCTTTTCAAGTCATGTCTATATGGTATAGAGCAAAAAAGGGGCTCATGACTACTAAATTTTAGGCTGGGAAAATAATTCAAGAAAAATAAATTTTCTCCAAGGCCAAGACAAGTAGGGTCTTGAGGGAAATCAGGCCAAAACTCTGGGATTGAAGAGAAAGTGGAAATCTTAGCACAGATTAACTAAATTGCCTATCTACATTATTTCAGTTCCTCAGGTAATTTATGATGCCAATGAAATGGCTCAGAATGGGGAAAATCGACTGCAGTTAAAGGACCTGGAGTATAGTCCTCGTTCTACCAATAAATTGCTATAGACCTTGGGCAAATCGCTTCACCTCTCTTGGCCTCGGTTTCCTCATGTCCAATGGGGACAAAGGCACCTGCCTTGCCTTTCCCATAGGTTGTTGTGAGGATTGAATAAAGATGTGTATGAAAGAGCTTTGAAAAGTATTAAGCAATAGACAAACACGAATCTCATCCTGAATTCCGTGGAATTTGTTTAGCGTGAGACATGAGTTTTCTAAACAATTGCCAACTCTTTACATACTAGTAAAAAACAAGCATTAACAACATCAAAAACAGAATCTAAGCTGTGAAATGAATGATTGAGGTGTGTAGGATTACGCATTTCTAAGTAGGCTTTGCATGATCTTGTCAGATGGCCTTCAAAATAAAAGCAACTGTGGAAATCCTGACACCACATCCTAACCTGGTTTAAAAACCATGATAAGATTGCTTTGATGATTCCTATAAAATTGTTTTGAGAAACAAACATGAAACGTAACAAGCGGCTCCAATAGGCACGCTGTCTGTATAGTTAGCACCTGCTTTCTTCCCCTCCCACGCCCCAGCATCCTGTCCTGGGCCCGGATCTGTGTAGCTTTTCACTTCATCTGCCAAGTTGTTGTTGTTAGTGTTAGATGTCTTCGAGTTGGTTCCGACTCATAGCGACCCTATGTACAACAGAACGAAACACTGCCCTGTCCTGCACCATCCTCACAATCGTTGCTATGTTTGAGCCTATCGTTGCAGCCACTGTGTCAGTCCATCTCCTTGAGGATCTTCCTCTCTTTTGATGACCTTCTACTTTACCAAGCAATGATGTCCTCCTGATAACATGTCCAAAATACGTGAAACTGTCTCTCCATCCTTGCTTCTAAGGGGCATTCTGGCTATATTTCTTCAACAACAGATTTGTTTGTTCTTCTGACAGTCCACGGTATAGTCAATATTCTTTACCACCACAATAATTCAAAGGCATTGATTCTTGTTAAGTCTTCCTTATTCATTGTCGAATTTTCACATACATATGAGGCAATTGAAAATACCATGGTTTGGGTCAGGCAAACCTTAGTCCTCAAAGTGACATCTCTGCTTTTTAACACTTTAAAAAGGTCTTTTGCAGCAGATTGGCCCAACGCAATGCATCTTTTGATTTCTTGACTGCTGCTTCCATGGGTGTTGATTGTGGATCCAAGTAAAATGAAATCCTTGACTACTTCAATCTTTTCTCCGGTTATCATGATGTTGCTTATTGGTCCAGTTGTGAGAATTTTTGTTTTCTTTATGTTGAGGTGTAATCCATACTGAAAGCTGCAGTCTTTCATCTTCATCAGTAAGTGCTTCAAGTCCTCTTCACTTTCAGCAAGTAAGGTGTGTCATTTGCATATCACAGGTTGTTAATGAGTTTTCCTCCAATCCTGATGCCACATTCTTCTTCATGTAGTCCAGCTTCTCGGATTATTTGCTCAGCATACAGATGGAATAAGTAAGGTGAAAGGATACAACCCTGACACAGACCTTTCCTGATTTTTAAGCAACACAGTATCCCCTTGTTCTGTTCCAACAACTGCCTCTTGGTCTATGTAAAGGTTTCTCATGACCACAATTAAGTGTTCTGGAATTCCAATTCTTCCCAATGTTATGCATAATTTTTTATGATCCACACAGCCGAATGCCTTTGCATAGTCAGTAAAACACAGATAAACATCTTTCTAGTATTCTCTGCTTTCAGCCAAGATCCATCTGAAATCAGCAATGATATCCTTCATTCCACACCTTCTTCTGAATCTGGTTTGAATTTCTGGCAGTTCCCTGTTGATGTACTGCTGCAACCATTTTTGAATTATCTTCAGCAAAATTTTACTTGTGTATGATATTAATGATATTGTTTGATAATTTCCTTATTCTGTTGGATCACCTTTCTTTGGAATGGGCAAAAATGTGGATCTCTTTTTTGCCCATTGAATCCTTCAATATTGCAACTCGAGGCTTGACTTTTTTCTTCAGTTCTTTCAGCTTGAGAAATGCTAAGCGTGTTCTTCCCTTTTGATTTTATAACTCCAGATCTTCGCATATTTCATCATAATACTTTACTTTGTCTTCTCAAGCCACCCTTTGAAATCTTCTGTTCAGCTCTTTTACTTCATCATTTCTTCCATTCACTTTAGCTACTCTACATTCAAGTGCAAGTTTTAGAGTCTCTTCGGACATCTATTTAGGTCTCTCTCTTTTTTTCTTTTCTGTCTTTTTAATGACCTTTTGCTTTCTTCATATACGATGTCCTTGAAGTCATCCCACCACTCGTCTGGTCTTCAGTCATTAGTGTTCAGTACGTCAAATCTGTTTTTGAGATGGTCTCTAAATCCAGGTGGGATATACTTAAGTTCGTACTTTGACTCTCATGGACTTGTTTTAATTTTCTTCAGCTTCAGCTTGAAATCACATATGAGCAATTGGTGGTCTGTTCCACAGTTGGTCCCTGGCCTTGTTCTGACTGATGATATTGAGCTTCTCCAGCATCTCTTTTTCCACAGATGTAGTTGATTTGATTCCTGTGTATTCCATCCAGTGAGGTCCACGTGTATACTCTCTGTTTATGTTGTTGAAAAAAGGTATTTGCTATGCATAGGTCGCTGGTCTTGCAAAATTCTGTCATGCAATCTCTGGAGTAGTTTCTGTCACCAAGGCCATATTTTCCAACAACTGACCCTTCTTCTTTGTTTCCAACGTTCATATTCCAATCACCAGTAATTATCAATGCATCTCAATTGCATATTCGATCAATTTCAGCCTGCACAAGTTGGTAAAAATCTTCAATTTCCTCATCTTTCTCCTTAGTGGCTGGTGTGTAAATATGAATGATAGTTGTCTTAACTGGTCTTTCTTGTAGATGTGTGGATATTATCCTATCACAGACAGCATTGACAATGAATGTGATGCCATTCCTCTTCAGTCTGTCATTCCCGGCATAGTAGACCATATGATTGTCTGATTCAAAATGGCCAATACCAGTCCATTTCAGCTCATTAATGCCAAAGATACTGATCTTTATGGATTCCATTTCATTGTTGATGACTTCCAATTTTCCTAGAGTCATACTTTTGTATGTTTCACATTCCAATTATTAATGGATGTCTGCAGCTGTTTCTTCTCATCTGAGTCTTGCTTCATCAGCAAAGGAAGGTCCAAAAAGCTTTACTCCACTTATGTTATCATCATTAAGGTCGACTCTACTTTGAGGAGACAGCTCTTTCCCAGTAGTATTTTGAATGTTTTCCAACCTGATGGGCTCATCTTCCAGCACTGTATCAGACAATGTTCTGATGCTATTCATAAGGTTTTCAGTGGCCAGTTTTTTTAGAAGTAGGTAGCCAGGTCTTTCTTTCTAGTCTGTCTTAATCTGGAAGCTGAACCTAAACCTGTCCACTGTGGGTGACCCTGCTGGTATTTGAAATACTGGTGGCATAGCTTCCAGCATCACAGCAACATGCACGCTACCACGGTAGGACAAACTGACAGATGAGTGGTACATCTGCCAAGTAGGTGTCTTCAATGCACGTGATGATCTTTGATCAGTGAAGTCAGAGGCTTTGGTTCTTAGAACAGTCATCTTAGTTCCATTGAAGGAAAATGGCCTAGCGGACTTCTCCAAGGCCAGTTTTATACAATCATAGAGTGTCAGAGCTGCCAGGGCCCTTGGAAGATCAGCTCAGCCAAGCCCCTAGAACACAGGAGAAAACACTGAAGGAAGCACAAAGAAGCAGACAATGTCAGAATTTGTTCACGTGACCAACTTCAAGAAAGAGTTGTCCAACATACCTGCCTCCACTTCTTGATCTCCCACTCAATTTGCAGCCTACTACAGTCTGACTTCTGCCCACAAGTAGTCCCCTGAAACCACTCCCGCCATTATTAGCTGAATAATAATAATTTCAGCTGAATACTCTTTTTTCCATTGTTAGTGACCTCTCTATTATTGTGTTGAACAGTCCATCCTTCTGGAAACTTCTCTCTTGACTTCTACCCCACCATACCTTTAGAGACTTCTGCTTCTCAGAATCTTTCTTCTTGTGATCCCCCTTTCCCTTCATCTTCATCTGATCTCCTTAAAACTTTGGTATTCCCTATCCTGACTCCTCCACTTCTTCTTCTTTTTTTTTTTTTTTTAACTTGATAATGACAGTTGACATTTACTATGTCAGGAACTATGATATGAACTGTGCATATCTCATTTAATTTTCTCAACAACCTCCTGAGGTAGGTTCTATTATTATCACCTTTTTATAGAGGAGGAAATAGCACTTGGAGAAGTTGAGTCACCTGCCTGGGAGGTGGATCAGACTCTGGAGTGCAAATCTTTTATCCCTTCAGCTTTTTATTTTGAAAAGTTCAAACTTCTTACAGACAATTTTACAGACATTAGAAAAGTTGCAAGAATAGTACAATGAACATTCATATATTCTTTACCTAGATTCATCAATTTTTGACATTTTCCTACATTTGCTTTCTTTCTTTCTCTCTCTTTC